TCTTTTCATTGGTTAAATTGTATATTGCTCTGAATGATTTGCTTTGCCATACATTTGATCATGCTACTAGGGATAGATCGAGGTTGCTATTTTAAAGATCTGTAAGTTAAATTTTGCTATGAAATTTTTAGTAGACTCAATCACGCAATATAGTGTTCAAATGGTAAATATGTTTTACTTATTGCCTTAATGAAAATTTGAAACATTAATAGTATGGTTATAATGCTATTTACTTTATTGAGTTTCATAGAACTCACCCCAATCCATCTCCCCTAAATGACATTGAAGAAAGTGATCTATCTCTTGATTTGCCCTTTGATGCTTGTTTAAATCCATTCGTGAATCTCTAGATTATTGAGTGCACAAGTGCGCCATACTTTGAAGGATAATTGTTTTGTAATTATAGAAGTAACTTGAATATAGTTTGTAAATATTTTTGATAACTAACTTCAAAGTCTCATATGAGTAATTATAATTTTTATAAGGGATGAATATAACTTAAGTGTTTTCAGTTAAATAAACTTACACTCGTAATTGCTCTATATTGGGCATCGCTTCCCACTAGGTAGCGGGATGCCATAATTTAAGTGGTAGTCAGGAATATTACCTTTCAACTCACAATGCTATAAATGTTGACACTAATACAAAGGTTTTACTTAATCCACATATAAAAAAAAAAGAAAAAAAAAGTATTGATAGGATTAACATATGCTTGGACATCAGACAATCACGCACGAGATGAAGTATGCTTTCACTTTTAAGATGATATCTGGCCCATTAATCATCACTCATCAAATGGCAACATTTTTCTCAATATTTGTTAATTATTATAATCTAGGAGCCATATAAAGTTTTTGATTCGTTCAGGCACTAATAATTTCTAAATAACCTTCCATAATTAATTAGGTTTACTATGTGCGAGCATAATGATGAAAAAGTAGACAGATTTGGTCCTGTAACAAGTAATTTGCTAGGTTTACTTATCTAGGATTGCACTCTCAAGTCTCATCCTAATCTAGGCATTTTTGAGGCTTAAAGGAAGGAGGTCAAGAAACTCCTTCCATCTCCATAATTCATTAAGGTTTAAATATGAGGCCACTTTTCTATCCAGGTGAAGAAGAGGCACAAAGTTCTTCAAGTTAAATGGGAGGAGCGATCGTTAATCCAATTATCTTACCATAAGTTAATCAACTCTATGTTACCAACGTCCCATCTCATCCTTAGTTTCGATGAAGTTATATTGGCTATATTTTCTAAGTCAAGGAATTATGGGATAGGCTTCATAATGTTCAAAGCAGCTTTATCAGGGAAGTATTTAGCTTTAGGAACTTGCATCATAAACTATCCTACTCATGGAGGAGTCTCCAACACACCATTTGGATATCACATTTTTATAAATGCATAACCCTTCTTGCTTTTTAACATTGCAAATCCAACTCTTTTTTACTAATGAGACTCTAGGTTTCCCACCTTTGGACCCCCATATGAAGTTCCTTATGAGAGCAAAGTGATTTACATGGTATATGATGGAATTATGGAAATGATAAACATGGTTAAAGTGGTTCTCCCAACCATTGAAAGATGGAAGATATGTTAATTAACAAGACACTTTTGAATACGATCCACAATCCCTTAGTAAGTACAACGAGTGGTTCTTGAGTGAATGAGTGGAACTCTTAGATATTATCCCAAATCTGTAGTACTGGATATTGTGTTCATTTTACTGAGCTCTCTAGCAACTTCCTTAGAAAAAATTTTCAATATGGGATATAGAGTGGTTACTTTTTTGTGTAGAACTTGCATAAAACATATCAGCGCATTTTGTTATGACTCAACTAATTTGACAAAGCTTTAACAAAAAAGATGAGATCATCAATAAAGAAGAGGTACGAGATGTGCGAACCATGTCTACATGACCTTCGATGTCTCTATTCCCCTGGTGAAATGCTATTTTGGATTAGATGGCTCAATCTCTCAATAACAAAACAAAGATATAAGGGGACAACATGGTCTCCTCGTCTAATACCAATCAAAGGGGTAAATTTTTTAGTTACTTCACCATTAATAGAGATTTGCATTATTACAGTTCTAATGCACTTCATAATGCAGGATATGAATTTATTAGGCAAACATGACATCTTTAGGATATTCATTTGTTAGGTAAAATTTTCACTTGTTACTCATAATCTTTAATACTTAAGGTACAAAATGAACTCCTTGACTTTATAAATATTTCAATATAGTTTTGTATTTGTATCCCCTATGATTAATCTATTAGTGCAAACTTTTTAAAACTATTAAGATCTCTTATGTGATGAGAAGGTAAGAGAGTTGGACTTAGAGAGTACTCTAAAGATTTTCAAGGAAATGAAAGTATTTGTGATGTAAAGCATTGTGTCAAAGTTTCTATTTTATAAGTAGACTTAGTATAGGTGCCAAAAGTTTCTCTGCTCTAAATCTTGGCACTATCTTATGTGGTTTATGGTTTCATAAAAAGTTTTATCATCATGAGACCAATTTTAGATAACAAATCTTTTGAGGTCTAGGTGGGTTTCCAAGCGACTTTGAAATGACCAATTAAATGGGAAATTTAAATAAGGTTGTGGTTAGAATAGACTTTAGCTAGATTTTGGGCACATTTTAGTAATTACATAATCCCTCCCTCCCCCTAATTTGATCCATAAGAAGAGCAATATCATTGAAGTCCCAGCTAGGATATAATGATCATTCATATTTACAACTAAACCCCTAATATGATTCCATAATATTGTTTATTGCTTACCTCTAGGGCCAACATAAATAGCCTAAAGTAGCAATTGATATTATTATGGTTAATCTAATAGTGAATACTTAGCTTTTAGCAAATGATTGATCCTTAGGCTTCAACTAATTTTTCCATAAGACCTAAATACTATTTGAGAATCCTATAACTCAGAGCTAACAAAAGCTCATCGACCTAAAGTATTGATAACTCTACCCATATTTTTACTTGTAATTCGGGGCTTAACAACAATAAAAATGTCCAGATTATGAATTCTAATGAGTTCTCTTGCACCAACTCTAAAAGGACTATTAACTCCCCCCAAATTCCAAGTAATTATTTTAATAGTCATATTGGGTAAGGTTCTCAATCAATTTTATAGTTTCATATAAGATTTTTCTTTTGTTTTTGGAATTAATAGCTTCATATAAGTTAAATCATCTCAAAAGCTAGATTAAATATAAATATATGAAATAAATTTTTACAAAATTTTTGTTTTAACCCAAACATATGCTAAATGTTTATACATTTACTAATCTAAATCCTTTTTGTAATTTCTTTTATTTTCTTTTTCTTGGTTGTATAAAACAATATGAAGTAAGACATTGTAATTTTTTTATGAATATATTTAATTGGTAAGATGTGGTGATTTTTTTATTTTTTTGAAGAAAACGATGTAGTCATTGTTGCTACAGAGATAAAGTTGTGAATAATATTTTATTATATGATTTTATTGTAATAGAAATATGTAAATATATTAGTTATATCCTAACAACAATTTTGCGTCTAAAGTAAATAGACAAGAAATTCGTTACAGAAAAAAAAGTTAATATATCTTAAGTGAAGAATGAAACACAAACTTTGTGGCTTTATTCTTTTTCTTTATAAAGAGATATTTTTGTGATTCAATTTATTTGAATAATATCTTAATATAAGGGTTAAATTATTTAATGTCAAATAATTTTGATTTTTTATAGAGATTTATTATTTGAAAAAACAATCAAACACTTTTGGTTCTTGATTGTTGAACATCTTCAAATGATATTTGCATGGAGATTCTAGATCCAAATGAAGAGGATTTTGATTTTTGATACCTCTAAATAAAAATAAAGATTCTTCAATTTTTTGAAGGATTTTGTTTATTAGGGATCCGAATTGAATTATTTGGAGACTTGAGCATATCTTTTTTTTTTTTTTGCCAAAAAGCTTTCAAATAATACATCGAGAAAAAGGTTTACTCTTACTCTCAGAAAGCTTGCTTTTGTTCTTGAGAGGAAGATTTTGAGGAGGAGAAGAAAGCTTTTTCTCTTACTTCGAAGGTTTTATGCTATTATTTCACTATCTTAGAAAAGAATTTCTTTCAACATTTGCTAGAGGACCTTTGTTCATAAAGGTTTGGTATAGAGGACCTTTGTTCATAAAGGTTTGGTATAGAGGACCTTTGTTCATAAAGGTTTGGTAGCTAAGATTCGTTTTTTTTTTTTTTTTAAAAACACCACTCCCATAATGAACATGGAGTCACTTGATATTTAATTCTTATAGTATGTACAATGAAGATTTTTTTTTTTAAGTTACTTTTAAGTAATCATGCTTAAAGTTGATTGAAAGTTATTAGACGTATCTTTTATTCCACCCACCATTTCTACATTGGTAGAAGCCCAATTACTAACGAAGTCTATTTTCTTTTTATTTTATTTAATACAAAATTAATTAAATAATTTAGATAAACATAAATATTTTTTTATGTTTACATGTATAACTAAAATTATAATATAACATGAATCAAATCTAATATGAATCTTTCGTGCATTGCATAATCTTCCTATTCCTGATTTATTAATCTCAGTACTGAAATTCCTTTAAGTATATATATATATTTTTTAATATCTAATAAAGATAGAATATTTTTTAATTAATAACACATTATTATATTATTATATTATATTATACTGTACAATTGATCAAATTTATTATTGTTTGATTTTATCAAGGAAGCACCATGATATTCAGAATGTGGGAAAAGATAAGTATGGAAGCGTTAAAGGTCTTTCTGAACCAAATTACATCTCTGGATTTTTCAACTACTGAGGCGGTAAGAAATTAGACAAATCCAATTGAAAGATTGCTTTTCATGCCATTTCAGAGACACTTTCGGGAAGATGATGCCTCCTAAAGCTGTTAATTTGTCACAGGTAGACACAAGATACAATCTGAATGGACAATAAGCTGAAATCATGAGTTAAATGCCGTGAATCAAATATTTAACTCGTCTTTAATACATAAACTATTTTCACTAATGAATTCATGATACATAGAAATGTAGTCCCTCTCGTAGGCTACAAGAATAATGGGACAAACTGGCCCAAGGAATGATATTACAATAGCCTAATGTTCTCAACTTGATTACATATTGGGTCATGATGGCCAATAATTACATGACGGAAATTCTAACAGTGGTTCTTATAAATACTATTTGCCATTTAACACACTTCTAGCTTATCTAAGTTGTGGACGCCTTCCAAATTCCTATAACCTACAAGGGATTTAGAGAGACTCTTTTCCAGATGCTCAAGAAAATCCATCACAACAGTATCTGTCCAAGGAGCTCCCCGTGGGGCTTCAGCACCGGCAACCCACCCAAGATGCCCACCTTTCGGTGTCACTATCAACAAGCAATATGGATTTTCCTGTGGTGACGAAGTGACAAAGGTGAAAAGTAAACAAATGCATTCTTTTCCAACTGCCACAAGAATAAAAGATAACTAGCTAGCTGAATAGCCTACCACCCTGTGGTGTCCCAGAATCAAAGGAAACATGGTTTTCAACTGGAGCCTCAATTTAACATAACTACCAGTTAAATGTAATTGAAGATAGTTTCTGTTGGAATAATTGGTTGAGTGGATTTTTGATACCCATGGTGATCAAGCAAGATCCACACCATTTGTTTAAGTTTAACCCTAAAACAACCACATAAACAGTTCTAATTTCTAGATCGAAGTCTGAGATGGTGGAGAACTACCAAAAGTGTGGTTGATGGAAAATTGTAATTTTCTTGACTACATAATTCCATTCTGTTTCCTCTAAGAGGCAGACTCTAAGGATTCCTTTTGGAGGAAGAAATAAAATGGAAGGAGGGAAGAAAAGGAAATGAGGATTATTTGGTCCTTGTGACAACATACTAATTAGGATAAAATGTGACGCAGAACCATCTAAAGTCTAAATAAGGAGGCTGTTTCTAGGACTTAGATGGTTCCACATCAAAATGTATTGCCAAGAAATGACCCAATTACCATATTCCCCACCTAACGATTAGACTGTGAAAGAGTATATTTCCTTCGAGAAAAGAAACAAGTGGTCAATAAACAACCCACTAACAAGATCTTGTATTTTTCTATATAATCTCACTCTGTTAGCAAAATGGGTAGGTATGGGCAACAAGACAAATTGGATATTGATTGAAGAACTTAAAAATTGACATTAAGAATTTCTCAAAGAAAGAATTTGAAGAAGATTATCAATTGGATCTATCAACGATACAGCATGATTATACACCTTAAAATAGAAGGATGTTCAGTAACATTATTTTTAAGAGAGAGAGAGTTAACTAGGAGGGTGAAGAAATACTGGAACAATTTCGCATTTTAGAAAAACAGAAAAGAAAACGACTCGGTTAACACAATTTTCCTACAAATTGCCAAAGCTAGGACTTATAGGAGTGGTGTCAGAAAATCTAATCCAGCTAAAACTTAAATGACAACAGAAAAGGCAGAAAAAAAGAAAGGTTCACGGACCAAAAGCTGTCCTTGCCTCAATCATATATAGTTGGGATCCCCCTAAAATAAGAGACATTGGAGGCAATTCAACTGAAAAAGGAAGCATGCTAATGTTATGCTTATGGTGAATGATGAATTCCCATCAAGCAAAAAACTCTAGCATGACTAAAAAAGGTACAGAAACCAACATACCTTGATATCTTCACGAGGAATTCCCCTAGCTGGAGCAATTGGATCATTTGCAGCCTTCAAACAACCAAAATTGCATAAATGAAGTTAAGTGCACAAATTTCATTTCCTAATCCCTTCTCTAAAACATAGAATATAGCTGCAGAGTAAAATATGTATCATCAATCATCTAATTCTTTTTTCTTTACATGAAACTTTCTGTCTAAAAGCAGCTCAACTGCTTAAGAACTACAGAAAATTTATATTCATTTCTTGGCATGAATAATTTTCACAGAACACATTGCCGAAGTACATTAACTGAGAGGAAGAGATTTTTTAAAGCATAGAAAAAAAAGATAGGAAAAGAAAACTACACTAACAGAAAGCAACATAGGTGGTTGGAGACAGTCTTTTCATGAGCCTAATATTTTCCCCTCAACCAAAATTTCCAGAGAACTGTCAAAGTAGCTCCTCTTTATGTTCACTTCCAAGACAGTATTTGTACATACTGAATTCTGGCTAGTAGAGTTGTGAACAAGATTGTTTGTGAAAAAGATTTGCAAGTGAAGACACAAGAGGAATCTAGCATCCTTACTCTGCGGTTGTGAAAAATTATGAAATTCATAAAAATAGAAGAATAATGACAGATCAGAAGAAATTAGAGATCGAGTGAAGAAATGTAGGGAGAAGTAAAAAGAATAGGATATATGCGGACAGAATAACAACCAAAAGAACGAATATCAGAAGAGATAATATGAAAAAAACCCTAATAAAAGGAATTATTAATTCATCATCGTCTTCCCCCTTTTGTTGGTAGTTAAGTTTTATATAGGTATAGTTAAAATGAATAACAAAAATTATAAAGGAAGAAAATCTAAAAGGTTATGACTCCTACAATATTTAAAATCTCGCTAAAGAAACTAAATATTATATGTATCACAGGGATATGTCCATGCAATACATAAGCTTAACGTATAGAGGGTTCCTTTATGTTGCAATACATGAACCACAGACAACATATTAGGACATACAGAGTCCATTCATTGCAGTTCATGTGATATACTCAATACATTAGCGTGACAAATAAAAAGTTCATGGGTCATAATGCACAACAAACAAAAAGTTTTCATGTCACATAGGCATATGTTGCATGCATCACAACATATATGTCGGAATCTAAATACACTTCGTTTGTTGGACATCTAATTCACCAAAAAAATCTATCCTTGATTGATTCTAATGGCTAGTTAATCACTAGAGACCACATAAAAACGATTTTCTAGATTTCCGACAAGGATTTAGAGCAAGTCAAGAGAAGAAACTAATCTTTCTTTATTGAGCCAAAAATTTGAAAATTTATAGTAGTGTCTTCACTTGTAATATTTCAATCTTTGAGAGAGATATTCTTTAACTTTTTCTTGAGAATTCTGGGGTTTTCCAAAGAGGTGGGAAAAACCTCTTGAATGTGTTTTTGGAAGGAAAAAATAATAGATTGGTGAATTAAGCACCATACTTAAACTAGTTTTTTATGAATTGATGACAGTGAAAAAGTTCAAGTGGGTTGCTTGAGAAGAGGACAAAAGTACATAATTGGTGATCAAACATCTACAAAATTGCATTTAGATTCTTTATACCTTCTCTTTCTCACTATTAAAATTGAAATTCAATATTTTTACTTGTGTAGATTGGTTTTTGAAATATTCATAATTTTTGTAAAGAAACATTTTAAAAACCTAATTCACCTTCCTCCTCTTGAATTGCCATAGACTTTTTGACTAACATATATAATTTTTGGATAATTAAATAAATACTATTAAAAGAGAGAACAAAGTAAATACAAATGTGGAGGGTAAAGTATCCTCCTCAAGAACTAAGTTAAGAAAACAAGAGCAAGAATTATATACAATCACACAATTATAACATCATGGACAATAGATTCCCAATTTCAGTGGAATTCTGTAATAGAAATATGTGGGAAATATCCATGTGCTTTTGCAATAGTCCTATTCCATATCTCCTCCAAGGATGTAGAATGATCATGGAAAATTTGCCTGTGCCTTAATAACCAAAGACACCATAATCTGGCAAAAATTGCCCCTTGCCAAAGGGGTTTTGCTCCGTTCCTCACTCCTACTCCATAGATGTTTGAGCAAATAAAGCTTTCCACAACAAGAGACATTACCCAGTTCAAACCGAACAAACTCACCAATTTTGTTAACATCCTCCAGGCCACATTGCAATGTAAGAAGAGTTGAAAGCAGATCTTGCCTCCTCTAAAACACATTAGGCAGACATCTGGACATCCGGAAACAAGGCATGATGACAGCGACAGAGTTGGAGCATCTCATTTGTGTTAAGCCTCTTATTTAGGGAGTCCACGAATAAACATTAATCTTTAAAGGTATTGATGCTTTGTAGAATACCTTTACAATGTGGAACAGAGAGAAAATAGGGTTGAACAATAACTTGCATGTATATATCCCTGATGGTTCAAGGGTCCAGGACCTGCTGGCTAGCTGGGGTAAGAGTTGAATGGATTCCAAAGTGGATAGTAAGGATGAGATGTTGAAAGACTCCATATTAGATAGGTTCTTCCATTTAAAGTGGAAATTCCAGGCTACTCTCCCCTTAGTGACATAATTAGGCTTTGCGTTTTGCAGAAAGACTGGAGAATATAGGAAATTTGGTGGTCAATGGTGGGTTCCCACCCAAGTATCTTCCCAAAACCTGACCCTAGTTCAATCTCTCACATGGAATCAGGTATGTGTGGCGTAAGTAGATTGAACCTGAGAAATGGATCTTCAAGGACTTTGATAAGCCGTAGATCTACTTACTAAGGCATCCATCCATCTAGTTCATGCAAAAAGTGCTAAAACTATTTAACCAATAAAGATATACATTTGATCTTAAATTCCAAATGCCAAGACCCCCTAAATTTTTGGATTCACAGCAAATCTCCCATCTCATGGGTGATCCCTACTCCTGACCGCAGAAATCTCTTCATGTTTCTTTCTAGTCTCTCAGCTACCCTGCAGAAATCCTAAAGAGAAAAAGAAGATGAAGTCGTGTTGTAACACCCCGGAACCTCCATGCTTAATGTGTTGTGTTAAATTTTCCATTTATTCGGATTCTAAAACCGTTAACTATTTAAATTGTTGTTTTAAATTTTTCGTATAATTTTGAGTTTACTTAAAAATTATTGTTATTTATTTATTTTTGTAAATTTATCACTAATTTTCGAAATTTCAGATAAAATGGAGAAAACAACAGAAAAATCCCGCGGAAAAGCTGCAGAAAACTTTTCCCCCGCCCGCGGGGGTCCCACGTGCCGCACACACGCTGCCAGCCAGATGTGCGCCTGTGCGCACATCCCGTCAGCGTGGCGCGCGAGGCGCACAGTCTTCGCGCGGGGCTCTGAGCACTTGTGAGTGTGCCTGCACGCCCAGGTGCCTCGGGCAGCTCGCGCGGCCCCTTGGGGGGCGTGCTCCATTGTTCGGCCGGCGTGACTCCGCTATTTAGGAGACATGCGTGGTCACTTGCCCGGCGTGCCCTCGACTTTTATAACACCACCCATTACTGTGCTTAAATAATTTAGAAACTTTATTCATTCGGGTCTTTGGCCATGTTAAACTTAATTAATTTACCCTACTTAATATTTAACATGATTCGTAAATCTGCTTAATTTTTATTTAATATAAATTTATTTAATTTTAAATTTTATTATTTAATTTTGCGTTTAACTCATTCAAATTTATTATAAAAAATTGAAAGAAATCAGAAAAAAGGGCAAAACAGGAAGAAATCCTGCGGGGATGCAGATTGCCCGCGTGGGTGTTGGGCATTGTGCATGCGCGCACAGTAGCCGCGGACATGCGCACAGTGTGCACGTCCCCTCTACGCGCACGGTGCGGGGTCAAGACTTGCATGCGTCTTGTCACGGGTGGATAGGCGTTGCACACTGTGCGTGTGCCGTGCAGCAAGCCTGCATGGATAGGCTCTATGCGCGTGAAGGCTAGCCTATAATGCACCGGCCAGGCAGTGTGCCGCCGTTGGTGGGGGAGACCCTCCTCCCTCATTTTTCGTGCCGAGTATCTTTTTCTCCTCTATTTTAAATAGAATATTATGCTAAATATGATATTTTATTATTTATACTTCTAATAGTAAAATTATATCTTATAATTAAAATTCTCTTAAAATAAGGTTAATCTACTCTATATATATCTCCTAAATGTAAACATAAAAAATAAAAAATAAAATTAGTATTTTATTTTCTTCAAATCTTTACTATCATATGCTTTCTCATAATCTAATGTGAGAACCAACCACTTTCTTTTCTTCCTTCAAATATACTTGACAACCTCATTTTGAGACTAGTCTGTGTTTAGGATTGACCTACCTCCATAAAGAACTCTGGTTCAGCGAAATAGTGTCATCCAAGACCTCACTAAGTTTTTACGAAAGAACTTTGATGATAATTTTGTATAAACTTATCATTAAACTAACTAACAATAATTGAAGACCTTCATAGACTTATTCTTTTTGAGCAAATTCATACTTTATATATTCTTATTTAAATAGAATTCCTCAAACATTTTAGATAAATCTCTTTAATGATGTGCCAGCACTTTGGTTAAGATATAATTTAGAGTCTTGACAACTAAACCGCTTCTAACCATTAAAAGCTTCACATAACTTCCCAAGTTTCTTAGCTACTTTTAGGGGCTTTAAACAAAAAAAGTTATTACAAAAATAAATTAAGAATAAAGAAAAATTCTATATAAATATCCTGAATAAAGAGAAAGTACAATCCAACTTTCTAATAATTTATATGTTTCAAAATCCTATTAAGTACAAAGTTTCAAAAAAATGCAAGAACAAAAATTACTCTTAAGAGGAACACTCATATAAGTGATGGGCAAAGAGAATATAATGCACCTAATCAACCAACTCCGCCACACCCTTAATTACCGGATCCTCCAAACTAATGCCTATTAAACCACTCTTGCTAACATTAACCAAATATTATCTACTATATTTACAAGATAGTAAGCACATTATAGTAATCGTAAGGTAGAAATATGTCAGTGTCATCTATGCAAACGAGAAACCTAGTATGATTATAAATTTGTGATGGCATATTCTAAGCACATGATATATCAAGAAATAAGTCATCCTGTTGGTTAATTTTTTAATCAACCTAGCACAATTAAATATCTGAGCTACCAAGAGAAGGTAATAAGAGCGATCAAAGAGAAAGTTATCATAATCACTTAATTAAGAACGTCTCTCCTAAGGATGTGTTTGGATGATTTTTAAAACAATTTATTAATGTATGGTATTATATGGTAATGATAAAGTATGGTAATGGAAAAGTTATACTATGTTTGGAAAGATTGTGCATTAATGTACACTAATGATAACTATTTTTATTTACATTGATAGTATGAATGGTTGTATATTTGATCAAATTGTCTATTTTATTTGTATCTTATTGTATGTAATAATAAATGAAAAACTAAAAAGATAAAAAATATATGTAATTAAATAATATATATATTTAATTACATATATTATATATATGTATATATATAATTAAATATATAGATACATGTATATATAATTAATATACAAATATATGTATATATATAATTAAATATATACATGTATATATACAATTAAATATATTATTTATATGTATATATAATTAAATATATGTATGTATATATGTGCAATTAAATGAAAGAAATTTGAAAAAAAAAGAAGATATTTTTTTATATTCATATTAATATATATAATTAAATAAATGAATATATAGATACATGTATATATATAATTAAATATATTACATATATGTATATATATAATTAAATATACAGATATATGTAGATATAATTAAATATATACATGAATATATATATTAAATATATACAAACATGTATATATATAATTAAAATAAATTAAGGGTATAAATATAAATAACAAAAAAGAATAAGGATATAAATGAAAAAAAATTATCCAAACCACACAAAATTATCGATTCAGTGGTTTAAAAAAAATGGAAAAAATAGTGGTTTTGAGAACCATGCAACAACTACCAAAAAATTATATCATGTGTCTGCAAATGCAAATAAATAAGGTAAAACTATAAAATTATCATAGCATACATTAATAAACCATCATCTAAATACACCCTAAGAGTAAACACCTTGAGACAAACAACATGATAGATACTCATCTAAAAATGAAGGCATAACATCTCCATCTCGCCTCTACCTAAAATTAATTTTTTAGTTGACTCTACATTACATTTTCTTCTGTCAAAGGTAAGGGAATCACTAATAAAGTAAGCTATTCTTCCTGCTACCACAACTTCCTTTCTCTTAAGCTCTTTGCTTTTCTTTTTGACTGATTAAATGTCAAGTGTCCAATTGCTTGTAACTTTGACCAGCAATTGACCTTATAGCCTTCTCGCAATCATGCTGGTCACTCCACATTTTCACATCAATACTAATCTTTCATGTCCAAAAAATATTGTACAAAGAAAACAAGAAATCCTAGGCGAATATGGTTGAGGACACTATGAAGAAAACACACTGTTGGCAAAGTGTTCTATTTGATAACATGAATAAACTATTACAATATACCAGAAAAGAGATACCCAAGATTCAACAGAGGCTATTCATTATCTAGTTGCAAGGTTGGTTACTTTATCTTAAAAACTTATTTTTTTTTAGAAGAAAAACTTCATTTTGAAAACATTACCCTTATAATAAAGAAAACCCTGGGAATGCGGGTCAGTGACTGTTTTGTGAGTAATGCTGATGCAGGAGGGGTGTGTCAGGTGTTGATTCTTCAAAATCTGAATGACTGGGAGCTTAATGAGTATGAGAAGCTGATGAGAGCCTTGGCTTTTGTATCACCGGGTAACAATACTGATTTTCCGTGATGGACTCTCACGAAAAAGGGATCCTTCATGGTAAAATCTTGGTACAAAAGGCTGTTTCTGTGTGAGGTTAGTGATGATCCATTCCTGTACAAACAAATTTGGAAGGTCAAAGTTCCAACTTGAATTTCTTTTTTTGCTTGGGAAGCTGGTAGGGAGTGTATTTTGACAATTGATAAACTTAGGAGAACAGGTTTGGTTCTGGTCAACGCTTGCAATCTCAGCAAGCAGACAGAGGAGAGTTGCAGTCCCTTCTTACTGCAGTGTCCTCTGGTATATTTGTTACAGACCATGGTGTATAAATCGATCGAGATTAGTTGGGGTGATGGCAGGATCAGTCAAGGAAGAACTATGGGCTTGGGAATAACTTAAAGACAAATGCATATTTGCTAAAATGGTTCCAATCACACTTATTTGGACTTTTTGGAAGGAAATGAATAGAACAGCGTTTAAAGGCATTGATGATACAAAGGGTTTTTATGTTCTTAAAAATAGATGGTTTAGGACCCTAGAATTTTTGTTGATGGGTCATCCTCCGTTGTTTTGTGAGGCTCTTAGAGTCCTGTTTTGTGTAGAGGACTGAAATGTAAATAATTGTACATGTTTTGCACTTTTTGGTGCTTATACTAATACACATTTGCACTTTTTTATTTAAAAAAATAATAATAAAGAAAAACCCTAATTAGTCCCAATTGCACCGGTTTGGATCTAAGCTAACTGATATGAGCACGGACAGCATAAGTCATCCCAAACATAATTCAAACAATTCAAATCAAGGAGAGAAAGATATGAGCGGCCAAGAGGAGATGATGGGCGGCCAAGAAGATTTTTCGGGCAGCCAAGAGAAGAAAGCATGTGGCAAGGTCCACTCAAGAGAGGAGACATGCAGCAAAGGAAGAGCAAGGTAAGATCCAAGTAATTTGGAAGGACGTGGATCACTTTAGAAGAATACTATGCCAAGTGAGCCCACTACAAGAGGAAGAGATAAAAAATTCCAACAAGTCTCTCAAATCTTTATTCAAGAATGGATAAGTGAGGAAGAAGGGCTTGGATCAAGCAAGGAAACCCATAAAAGAGGCAAGTCCATTAGGTCAAGGGTATAATGGTACGTCCATCATAATTCAAATGGAAAAGGAAAGCAAGAGAAAACATGAAGGAAATATTTCCTTGGGGGAGGAGTCTTCCCAACCCGAAAAGGTCTTCCTCCCAAACGGGAATTTTCGACTTTTCTTTCCCCATATCTTCCTAAAACTACAAACCAATCTATCCATTCAAAGACGAAAGCGGCCAACACTTTAATTTCCTTCCTAAACCTCATGGAAATTCAAGAAAAAGAGAAAAACAAATCTCATGCTTTAATGGGAGCTTAAATCTAATAGATTTTGGGAAGATATGGGGGCAACTAATTCACCAGCCATAATCTTCCTTAAATTTTCCCTCAATCATCTCCACAATTAATTAAAATCTTCCCTATTTAAAAAGATTTATACAAAAGGAGATCCTATCCGCCTTATTTTGGTTATAATTCTCTTAATTTTTATTATTTTCTCATTTAAGAAAATATTTAATTTTCTTTATAATTTTTACAAGTAATTTAAGAGATTCATTTTCTTATAATGCATAATGATCTACTCTATAAATATGTTTTCAATTTACAATTGTATTTATTCAAGTTTGAGATAATAAAAGTATAAAGTTATTTTCAACTAGTGATGTGTTTTTAACTTTCTTATTTAGCAAAGAATTGGATCAACTTATCAAGGTATACTTGTGATATTTTTCTAAAGAATTGGATCAACTTATCAAGATATACTTGTGATATTTTTCTAACTTTTTTTTAATTTTCCGATTACCTTCTTTCCTATCACTTTATTGATAGTGGGTTAAATAGGGAGGGTTTATTAAGATTTAAGTTTTTATTTCTTTATGAATATTGTGTGAGTTTTGGATTTCACCGTTGATCTTGGGTTCCATATCACTAACTACCATGAAAGTTATCTTCATCTAGAAGCAATGACTTAGACTGATTTGCCTGGCACAGAATTGACAGACGAGAAATGTCCTTACAAGTCAAGAGGAGACGAGATCTGAAAGCTTTTCTTTCGCTGTTAATTTCTTGTTCTAAAGGGTTTCAACAAACATCTCTAGGCCCATGTATAAACCGTCCATATAATTTACAAAAAACTACCATATTACAAAAAGATTAGAGAGACAGCTTGATTTCTAACATGAAGAAATCAGCAAAAGGCCTCATACAGTCAACCGGAGCAGCAACATAATTCAGAAAATCAACTTAGATCAGAGCCTTCAAAACTTTGATTGCACTTTCTAAATTTTTAGACTCAGAAAACGGATACTTAAGAGGCAACATAAACAATACCTGAATGCAAAGCAAAGGAGTACGGACAAACTTTATGGAGTCCGAGCTGCTTGAGTTAGAGTAGTATTCATCCACTGACTTGAAGCCAAATGAAACTGCAAGGAGTTTAAAACAGTAGTATAAGCTGGCATCATATCTTTGCAACAAATTATTTACAGTCTAGCAGCATTAATGGCACCTTAGAAAACAGAGATTAAAAAAAGAAAATCACTCTCATATAAAAGAAACACATACCCCGAGTTAGGCCTTCATCAAACTCCTTGACAGTCTTGGCATTTGCTGCTAATGGGATGTTAAATTCACCACTTATGTTTTCAAAGAGAAGAGCATGCCTGCCAAACATGCATTTGAACGGCATTAACTACAAATCGAGCATCAATTGTAAGCTAAAATAACTAAAAATAAGAAATAGGCATTTTATCATACTTCTTGAAAATTCTACAGAGGGATCTTGCAAGAGCTTTATCATAGACATTGTTAAAGCCCTTGCGGAAGTCCTCGTCTGCAATGACCAAATTGAATGGATTACATAATGAGACAGCACCAGAAAGGGGGCTGGTATGAGACTCCTGCAAACAAAATATCATGAAAATATGACTTAAGTAGAAGCACTATATAAGATGTAACAGAGACAAGTCTGTTAGTCCAGCATAGGTACTCCTAATGGCTATAGGAACAAGGCAGGCAGTTTCCTCTTCTCAAATAGTCAACCAAACATCTATAAAATGAAAGTCAGAGAGAGCAGGGCAATAACCATTTGGAATCACCAGCTCCCACCATAGAACCCTCACTTGGGGGTTCATCTTCTCTATATCCAGAACAAAAAAAATTGAGGCTCTTAGGAATAATAATTTAAAGCAGAACAGCATAAATTTGGAAGGGGATCACTCCACCTCAACATTCTAACTAAATGGACAGGCTAAATGCAATTCGTTACACATTTGATTCCTTTTGGACCCTCTTAAATCTCATTAACTTCATCTTCTCTTCATTTTCTTTCTTTAAATAAATTTTATACTTTATTACCAGAAAGAATATTCTACTCAAGCAGAAATCAGCAAACCTCTTTTTTGGAAGTGGAAGTGCATAACTGCCGCAAATATTTATGTAAGGCATGGCCTGAGGACGATCAGAAGTCTAGAAAAGTGAAGAAAAAGGATTCTGCACTTCATTCAGTTACATAGAAAGGAACCACTGAATTAAAGAAACAAAGAAAAAAATCTAATTGTATTACTATGTCTTTTTTCCAACAAATTATGTTACATCTGTGATGAAGAAGCATTGAAGCAACAAGACAGTCTCTATAGCAGGCAGGAGGGAGACAAAAGAAAACAAACTTCAAAACTATTTAAACACGACACTACCTTTTAAGTGTGAACTTAGGTTGATCGAAATGATAGAGAATGGAGAAATAACAGGCACGTATCTCAAAAAAAAAAGGGAAATAACAGGTACTGAAGAATAGAGCATGTCTATTGATTTTAGTATCAGGGAATAAATTTTAAGAACTAGAAGCTACTAAGTAACAAAATAAAACATTTTGTCAAGCAGAAAGCATCTTACCTGACCCAGATAACGAACAAGTACATTCGCCCCAAGAGACCAACCAACAGCATATAAATTAGCTTTCGGGTACCTCTTGGAAACATGTGCCACTACTTCGTGCATATCTCCAAAGAATGAAGCCGAATAGAACTGCATATCAGCGTCATGAAGTATTCATATGCTTTTCTTGAGTATTTTCTAAGTAAATTAGAAAGACATCCGCATATTACATGAACGCAAAAACGACATTAATCATGACAAATCCATTAAGCAATTGATCCAATCAAAATTGCAACAATGAAGAACCTGTACCTGAGGAGTGGTAACAGGGCTATTTCCACAACCGCGGCTGTTGAACACCACAACCCTCCATCCTTTACTTCTTGCTCTGACCAACATATGCCTCACATATGAATCCTGACTCCCTCCCGTTAAACCTGGCTGCAATATAACGTTGACAGTCAACATTACTGTAGCCACTAATAACAAGTAAGTCATACACCCACTGAAAGAAGCGTAACTTAAAATCCCGTGTGTGTAGGCGTCATATAGTAGTGATCAACGAAATCAATTTTAAGATTTTATCGGCAAATTAAAACTGATTAATTAATTCGATTGGAAAATTTTCTCGTGAAAGAAATAAGGGACATACCAACAAAATAAGAACCGGAGACTCCAGGGGCAAGCGACGATCATCACCGGAGACCCAATCGAGGGCAACGACGCCGTCGTCCTTAGTACGGAGGCACTCTCGACGGAGCTTGACGTCGGGGATGGAGCGAAAAAACGCTGCGAAGATCGTCTCTACGTGGCGGTTCCAGCCAATCAGCGGGAATGGATCGTACGAAACAGTCTTAAGCACCGGGAAGAAGAGGTTACCTGCGCCGGCTATAACTTCTATCGACGAGTGGTGATCACTGCTTGCTGACATTTTGGTAACTTGGCTCTTGGTGGCGGGACCGACGTGGAAGGCGGAGATTGGTCTGCCAAAGCTGCGGAAGCAAGGAAGAGCCGAGGCGAAACTGAAGGAGGCTCTCACCATTGGTCCGTGATGGGAAACTTATGCCTAGCCAGGTTGGCCCCAGAGGCAACAAGGCCAGTCGTCCCCAAGCTGGACTCGCAGACGAGTGGTAGTTGCAGTTATATGATGGAATATTGGAACAGCAACTATTGGCCAATTGAAAATGGCGATTCCCGTCACGTAATTTGGTTCTGGTTTTTGGCACTTTATCTCGTTAAGAATGGGTGACGTCTAGGATGCAATAAAAAATGGGTACACGGTAACAGGAATTTGAATTTTTAATTTAAAATAAATAGTTATTTATTTCAATAAAATATTTGTTAAAAATAACTAACTATATTTTGGTAAAAAAAATAAATAGAAAAATATTTTTTTTTCTAAAAAAATATTTAATAATTTATATTATTATATTTAATAATTTAAAAAATAATAAGAAGATAATTAAGTAAATTTGTAAGATTTAAAACAAAGCGTTACTATAGTGATGGTTAAAGAAATTTGTTTGAATAATGAAAAGATAAATTTTATATAGAAATAAAAAGTTGTGTGTTCTGTAAAGTATTGATTGTTAAAAAATAAGCAGATTTATTTGGCAAAAAAATTAATAAAAATTGTGTATATTATTACTAATATTTTAGGACATATTATTATTATTATTATATATTAATAATCTTGAAATGATATTAGAAGGATAATTAATTAACTTTGTTAGATTAAAAAAACAATATCCTAAATATTAAAAATAGATTAAAAAAACAATTAATTAACTTTAAAGTAACTTTTCATGTACTATCAAGTGAAGTCAATTTTTGAAAAGGAAGCAACATAAGTAGAAGTAAGAGGTCTCATTACTTCTTTACTAGTGAAAGTTCAAAAGTTGCCCCTAATTATATTATGGACAAGATTAGACATTAAAATTAATAATCTTTAAATTTATCTATTTGGGTCCAACTAAATATAAAAGTGAAAAAAAAAACTAACATATGAGTAAACTAATTAAATTAGAATTAATTGTTGAAGAGAGAAGAAAAATGAAAAAAATATTTTTTTTTCGTATGTCTAAAACATAACAGATGATGACTATATATAATCTGTACATGAACCTAATTTGGAAGAAGCTAATCACGTTAATCTAGGCAAAATACTTGGATTTACAACGAATAAAACTAAGTTGATAAGTAGAATATTTTGTAATTCCTATAATTGCTCTTTCACAGCTCATGTCAATACTTCCCCTCAAGTTATAGTATAGACCTCTTTAATGTCCGACTTGTTAAGTGAGTTATGAAATATTTTGTTAGAGACAACCTTTGTAAGTATATCTGCTACTAGTCTTCTGACTTCACAAAAGGAAACTGAATTACTTTGTCTTTGAGCTTCTGTTAAATGAAATGTTGATCCACTTCAATATATTTAGTGTGATCATATTGAAGTGGATTATGCACTACTATTATGATTGTAAAGGTCCGAAACTTTAAGAGAATGAATATATATTTAAATAACGGAAGCAAATAATAATTAGAGTTTATATTCCTTACACAATAAATTAGAATGCCCAATAAGACTATAGAAATGTCTCTACTACAGTGACTTGTAAAAAGAAGCAAATAAATAATTTAAAATAAATAAATAAATATCATAGGGGTTAGCCTCCACTAGCTCTTGAAGGGATCTAGGAGGTAAACTACTCACAACCTTCTTGTTGATCGGGATCTGGATCTTGGTCCTCTTTATTTAAAATGATTAATAGAAGAGTAAGTTACACTATCTCAGTAATAATATCACATTAATTACTAACGCAGAAAACAAAAGTTGGTAAAAATTACAAAATAACTAATGGAGCCCTTAATTTAAGTAAATTCATTTAATATCAAAACGTTACTTCTATACTTACTGTTACAAGTTTTCCAAAACCAACTTATAAGACAAACACCCATATAACATTTACAAGTGAATAAAGTTAGTCATTCTCTCTTTTTACCTACTTACTAGGACTCCTAGGGGTCCATAAAGATATCTCCCTACTTGTGAACCTAATGTCTAGATTTGCCAATTTACCCGGTCGTTCCCATACCCCGTCCGGTAATGGATGCCAAACACACCGTTGTCTCAATACCTCGTCCAGTATGAGGGTGAACCATATCTCCAAACCCTCCCGATATGGGACTCTTCAGCCCTGTTTGGCTGAGGTATTGTTTACGATAGGATTTTTTCTATGTACCAGGTTCGTCCGCCCTTTCCTAGGGTACCAAGTAAGTCTTTTATATATAGATCCCCATTAACAAACAATCACCAATCGCCTACTAACATCTCATTTTATATTCGCAGATCAATCAAGTGACATTTAAGTAAACAGTACATTTTTTTTATACCTTAACAATTAAGAAACGTAATTAGGGTATCTATTTCAACAGATAAAAATTACAATCAGGCAGTCAATAACGAGGAAGCAATTAAATGTAATAATAATTTAAATCATACGGTGGAACAATAAGCAATTTAGACAGTATAGGAAAATAAATAGACACATAGATGAGCTTAGGTCAATCGTACACTGATCAGTTTTTCAGCTCCATTAGTAACTTGTAATTATTGTTAAGATTTTTTTAATTTTTACAAAACATAAGATTATCGATTTATTAGACCTCCATTTATCGTAGCAGGGAATAAGATAAGGGTACCTTACCCGGATCGGTGTTTTGACGCGCTGTGCTACCCACTACGCCTCCTAACTGGCCCTGGATTCCTTGAATTTTCTCTGTAAAATTTTAAAATACTCCTCATGTATCCAAAAATACCCAAAAAAACCTCAAAATTGGTGTTGAAAACCCTTTCCAATCAATTTTAGGGTCTGACACCGGCTCTGCTTCCCACGACGGCGATTCACCTAGATCTGGCCAGCTTTGGCCAATTTTGGTAAGTTTTACATGTATCCCTACAAAAAAATACATTAAGAAGGCTTGGTTGGCCAAAAAAATCAAAAAATCAAACCTATCAATGGGGGGTCTCTAGGTGTAGCGGCTCTGCGGGTTTTTCTTCGTTACTGGGGTTTCTTTTTCAACTAACTTACACAGAAAGAGACGGTGAACACAATGGTCAAATAATTGTGAGACACAAGAAACAGGAAGGGGGTCATCGAAGAGGGTTTTGGGTTTTGGTCGGTGGCAGCTTGGCCGAGCTTTGCCTGTAGTTTTTGGCTCACCCGTCGATGCTTTAGCTTTAATA